TTTAGGGCCATTCTATGATATTCCTCCAAGTTGAGATGATGATTCCCATAATGTGGGGATACTGAAGTGAAAAGTGAGTCAACTTCCATCTCGGCTTGGATCTAACTAGTTCTCGTTCCAACAATATACTCCACCAAAGATAAACGCCCACATTTCCCAACAACGTTCATAAAAGAGAAATTAGGCAAGTATTTGTCTCTTAAAATTCTTGCCAAGAGAGACTCAAGATTGATAATAAGTTTCGAGCATTGCTTTGCCACAATTGCTTTGTTAAAGAGCACCAACTAGACTCCTACTATCTTGTAAATCTTTTTGCACGATAACTAGTATGATTTATCATTTCCCTTATACCTGTCTCAAGACAATGAAGAAACTAACCTCTATATTTCCATTTTCCGCCTGCACGTCATAAAGGAGGGTCCACAAGGAGGAAAATCGCTTTTGGAATGTTCGGCCCAAATGTGTATAAGTTATAATTGCATCCGATTTACCCGAGTGACAAACATGAGAAATGCTGTCTTTCCTCAATATTAGTCGGATGAAGTTTGAATACCCAAAAAAATAAAAAAAAAGAATTATGCATTTCCTCGTAGAGGTCCCCTGGAAGTAGAAATATGATCATCGTCTAAATAGGTTGGCACTCGTGTGAATGTTCCCCAACCCCACCCAAACCTGACCAACACCATCACATCAACACAAACTGAAAAACCAGGACAGGTTGAGCTAGTGGTCTGAGTAATCTATGGATGGCAGGGCGGGGCGAGGGAGGTGTCTTCCCAGCCTCGCCAAGCAATTCCTCGCCCTGCCCCCAACCCGATATCCATTTAAGGAGGGGCGGGGTTCGGACCCTATTTACTATCCTATTTAATTTTTTTAAAAATTTTTTAATAATTTATTTTTATTACCAACATTTCTTGAATTTGGACAAATAATTTTAATTGTAATTTTCTATTAGAATTAATGAAATTCCGTGAAATTTTTCATTTAAGGTATTGAATTTTTTTAAAAAATAATAATAATAAAATTAAATGGGGCTGGGCGCCAATTACCCTTCCCCGCCTCGGGACAAAATTCC